AATACTAATATTTTTTCTACTATTAAATAAAAAAAAGTTTAGTTAGGCCTTTTCGAAATGTATATAATATGCTTTGTCATACTGCATTTCACTGGAAAACACCTATTTATAATAAAAAGCAATTTTTAACGAAGACATAATTAAAATATAAAGTCCCATATTTAAAAGTTGTAAATATTTTACACTGTATTTGTAATTTTTCGATTTATTTTATTGTTATTAACTCTTAAGGTTTGATAACTCATTAGTGGGTAAGATAAGTTATTTTGTATGCAAAACGTAACGCAAAATATTATGCACTTTTTGAAGCGAGCATGTTGTTGAAATTAGGAATTATTTTACAAGAAAGTCCCGCCCCCTGTCTTCCTCAGGGACAAGGCGCTATTTACTAGACTTTCTAAAGTCTGTTACGACGCAGGCTTTAAATATGACCAAGCCACCAACCTTCGTGAGCCAATTAAAATCGTTCAGCAGTCTATGGAAGATTTTAGAAACATCACCAAACTCTTCACATCCGAAGGTGTGCCATATCACACCTACTCTCTCCCTGAAGAACGTAAAGTCAGGGCTGTCCTCCGCGGAGTTCCCTTTGAACTCGCCAACGAGGAAATCCTGGAGGACCTCAAGTCCGAGGGATTCCCAGTTGAGGCTGTGCACAAGATGCACAACAGTAGGGGCAAGAGGTACTCGCTTGCCCTCTTCATTTTGTCCAACATGCCGGAGGCGAAAGACATATTCCGACAGGTACACACTGTGTGCGGCCTGTCGAGAGTTAAAGTCGAAGCCCCCTATAGGCGCTGTTTTCCGGAGCAGTGCCACCGCTGCCAACTCTACGGACATGCGGCGGCCAACTGCTCAGCCCCTCCCAGGTGCGTTAAGTGCCTGGACCCGCACAGCTCGAAAGAGTGTCCTCGGCCCCGGAATACCGAGTACCCACCCGCTTGTGTCCTTTGCGGACAGACTGGCCATACGGCTAACTTGAGAGGCTGCCCTCGCGCGGCTCGCCCCAATCTCGGCAACAAAGCTGCCAAAAAAGATCCGCCACCGGTTAATGACCGTAAATTCCCGGCTCTCCCATCCAAAATGCCCCTTCAGGGCAACTCTCAGTCACCTCAGGACCTATATCGGCCCCATCAGAAACCCTACAGGCCTCCTCATCTTCACCCACTAGGGCCCCGACAGCAGGCCGAACCCTCTTACGCTGATAACGTAGATACAGTATACACTGCTATCCGCAATATCGACGTAAGAGAGATCGCAATTTTAGCACGCAAACGGAGTGCTTCTTAGTCTCCTCAGGACCGTCTCCTCGCGCTTACCGAGCACCAACACCTTCTAAACTCAATATAATTAGTCGTCCCATTCGTAAGCTGCCTTAATTAGGCAGCAATTCTTCCCAGCGGCTACTCGCCGCTAGCGCCCCCCTTTCACCCAAGGGGGGAGTCCGGAGGGTTGCCATCATCACATGGAGTGTAGTCCGCTCCCCGGGCAGAACACCTTGCCCGGCGGGAGATCTCCCCTTTTCCTTCTACGGCCACAGTGGTGACCCCAACGTGATCTGAACACGCAACCAACAACCTTCGGAAACTTCAAGCTTCATCGTCATAGAACACCCCGCCCATTCGCCCCCGAGCAGATATCGTCTGCAGTATTCATATTCTAGAAGCCATCTAGCTTAACAAGGTTCATCGAGCACTGGAATAATAATGCTTCCTGTTCCTTCACGCAACTCTTGCGCTGTACAGTATTCGGCACGGCTCTGGGCCTTACTGCTCGCCTCTGCTTCACAGCACTCTCGCAGATTACTTGCCTTCTACTCGACTCACCGCAGACTACAAGGCAATCCACTGGCACTTGCACATTCGTCTGCAACGAGGCTGTACTATCGACCTCCGGTCTGAGCAGGGGGGTTATGTGGCGGCGCTTTCGTCGCGCCGCAAGCGAAATACACCGAAGCCTAAATCACGCTATCAACATTTCATAAACAGTATATATAAAACATCTCTGAACAATCACATGGAGTGTTGTCCGCTCCCCGGGCAGAACACCTTGCCCGGCGGGAGATCTCCCCTTTTCCTTCTACGGCCACTTGGTTTAATAAAGTTTTTGAACTTTGTGTACTTACCTCAAATTTTGTATATTTTCTGGCATTCTGTTGTAAAAGCGTATACATCTCCTCAAAAATGAATTACTGATTCTGTGGAGTCGAGTACCTGGTACCAAAATGGCGGGATATTGAAATTATGTAATGGTTATTTAGGCACGGTCTTGTATATGAGTTTTTTTGCCTACAAAAATTTATGTTTTATTAATGAATAATAATGTAATTTAAGGAATTTTAAATAAAAATTAAATTAAACAAATAATACATTAAAGAAATAAATGATTCGATTATTATATATTTTTACCGATTATTTGAATATTTTGCCGATTATTCGCATAACAATGAATTTTAATCATCCAAACACTACGGTAATATACATAGCGACATGTCATTGAAACGACGTCAAGTAAAAAAGTTATACTGGTTACTTTTTAATATTTTGCTTTGTTTGAAAAATTAAGATTAAAATGAGTAATAAAAAACTATACACGTTGTAATGAAATATAGATAACTTCATAATTCTTCGGATTTACGTAAAAGGTTATTTTAAATCGTGTGAGTACGCTTGTGCAAAGTTATTGCGAAATGATTAATGTGAAACGTCAAAAGGTATTTCTTAGATTAAGTTGACTATAATATGAATCCATTTCGAACTACCTACATTAATTCTAAAATTGAGCCACAATATAAAAGCGCGAACACTTGACGCTCCCCGCCGGTTGATTACGAACAGTGGTGCTGAGAAGGTTATAATAGTCAAGTCCATTGTGAAATAAGGTGATATTAAAGCTTGTGAGTAAAGTTAAATTAATATATAGTCTTCTCTGTAAAATTAAAGTATAGTGTGTTATAAAGTATTATATTATACAGTTTAATAGTGAAATTAAACAACGAACATAGTGATTAAACAGTTAAGTAAGTGAGTTGTCGTGGTTCTATTGGAGAAAAGCTGACAGAGGAGATATTTCAGATCAAATTTGTCAGTACGACGAAATGCTAATGTCATATGTAAGGACCTAATATTATGTAGGTACTTTGGTTTTTATTGAAATGCATTTCTTCCGCGTTAATGCTTTGTTATTTGATTTGTCGTATTGTGTTAATTGTTTTTTTGTGTTGTTGTGTATTTTTTTTCTATTTATGCATATTATATGGGCTGTGTCCTAAATAAAACCTTATTTTTTAATTTTATTTAATTCAGGGCAATGGTACAATAAGTTGTTGCATTATAACTTTTAGGAGCATTAAAAAGTACTTGGTTAGATAAATGGCGATATTGAAGGTTAATTGTAAATTATATTATATTAATTCATAGTAAAGAACGCAGTGTTTATTTTTAAACGTTGACGTAGATTACTAACTACATGTTATATGTACTAGTGTGCCAGAAATCAGTGTGTTCAGTGTTAGCATTGCGTTAGACCGGATAACTGTTTTTGTGTCTGCTAACTGTTTATAAAAAGTTACAGTGAAATAAAAGTTGACTTTTTTACTAGAAGGCATTTTATGTGTAAATAAGGGGATAATTCTTAAATATTAATTAAGTACCTGTGCATAAATATACGAGGAATAGATTAATGTGTTAAGTACTACGTTGTCAAACTGTTGTGTATTAAGTTGTTAAATATCTGTCTACACTTGTACTTTATTTATGTATTTATTTATATAGAACACCGACAGCGTAAAATAATATTAAACAAAATATTTCATTTAAGGTTACATAATGTTCCAACTTCATGTCACAAACATAATTTTGCTGGATATATGAATTCTGAACGTTTCGATCTTTCTTAAAACTATTAAATTACCATCAAATTAACTATCAAATTACTCAAATTTTTGTAGCCGCAAAATATCTTAGCTGCTATAAAAATAAACAACTACAATCGAATCAATATTTTTATCGCCTAATATTTTTACTCCTAACCTATACTTACTTTTATTTGTAACAATAAATAGTATTGATATATTATAAATTATATACCAGCTTAATATAGCAGTTTTATGCAGCTGGTTCTTATGGTGAGTATAGGATTCCGGTGACCCTTACTGGAAACGAGGCATTTCATCTTATATTGTACAGGTGATAACGCATTGGCATTTTAATTCTGAATCGAGGGTAGATTAAAAACATTAGGTCTGACTTAGTTTGGAAAATATTGTAATTTGGTTACTTTATTTGTACGTTTATGTATACGTATGTGTTATATATTTCTTATTATTAAATAAACAACAACAACAACAACAATATACAACTACGAGGACTGGTCAATTGTGCAAAACAGGGTTATAGTGCACAAATGTGTGCTTAAACACAGGTGCACTCTTTTCCCTCACTCTTATAGTCCGATTTAATTGCAGTCAAGTGAACTGTGGGCTCGTTTGTCACCTTTATTCGCGCTTTATTTAACTTAATTAATTTGACCAATATTATTAATTGCCGGATCAATATTTTGTTACCAATTTTTAAATCATTTGCTGACATCTGCAATTTGGCATACTAATGTAACTTTGATGAAAAATGACACTGTAATAATATGATGGGTACCATGGCGCAGATTTGATGATGGACCTGGATACTGATTCTAGCAGATTATAAACGCTTGTTTATAAATAGATTTTATAAATGATTTGTATTTTATTTTAAATATTTTATTTACTTGTCATTGTTGTGTTGAAATTACATTAAAATAAAGAATGTAGCAAATCGCTCGCAAGGAAAAATTTTAGTTCAAATTATCCAGTACTTATTTACTTTTGTTTGCAGTCATATTTGTTTTTATTACATTGCAAATGTGTTAGTTAACGCAAGATGGGTATGATCAGTGTATTATTATTGACCACGAGCATATTGAGTTATAAATGTGTTGCTTATAATATACTATATTTGTCACCAATGCCAAGTGGTAGTCATGGAATTCTTGGGGATGCTTTTGTCAAACTTTTATCCAACGCTGGTCATGAGGTAAGCAAATTTCGGATCCTATGTAAAGTTTAATGGCCTTATATTCCTAAGGTTTTATGGCATTGGGCCACTCTGCAACTATAATATATGTACGCTACTCAAAGGGAAAATTATTTGTTTTTGCTAGGATTTTTTAAATAATACTAGAATCGTTATTAAAATTGATGATACTCCCTTTTACTAGTTCAAATAAGTTTAAAATGTTTCTGTTAGGAGTGTTTCACGACAAAATATAGTCAAACGATGGATTCGAACCCACCACTTTCCGAGTTTGCGGTCCGCAACAATTGTAAAGTTGAATCATTATTTTAATTGTAAAGTTAAATACTTATATCAATCCGCTAACTATTAATTTGAAGTAGTTACAACATAAGATATGCAATTATGGAATCTTTCAAGATAGATTTTATTTATACATTTCTTACGTGGTAGAGCCATGCTGCAGCCAGATTATATATTCGGTTCGACCGGGAAAGGAACACGCCACCACAGAATACCAGCGTAAATTGCAGTTCAACGCTGCTGTGCTCCGTATGGTGAGTATAGAGAACCGGAGAGACCCTTTTTTACTGGAAACGTCGCATTCCATCTTAGCCCTCAGGGGTGACAACGTATCAGAATTTTTATTCGTAATTGAGAATAGATGTGGATCCATATACAGTGGAACACAGCAACCACTTACCATCAGGTGGACTGTGTCCTCTTTTTTGGAAATGTCAAGTACCTTAACTTTCATTTTTGAATCACAAGAATGAAAGTTTCAAACAGCCTCAAGTATAAATTATACCTTACTTAACGTCTCACAGATCAAGAAATAGCCAGTTAAAGGCATTGCAACACTGATTCAAAAATACTGTTATTTAGATAAAGGTGGTTACCGTATCGGGTGGTTTTGGCGTAAGGGGATCCAATACCCCTAATAATCCCCTGGGTTTTGTACGTGGCAACAGAGGAAAACTGGGAAGAAGTTGCATAGATGAAGTAAAGACGGAATGCTAAAATAACTAAAAATAATTATTAGACAATATTTATCAAAAAATACTCAAAATATCTAAATACTGTTGCAATGATATTGGTCCTATGCTTAACAAAAGAAAATAGTGAGTTTAAGTAAATCTTTCAAGTAATGTATGACGTACCTATATCCAACAGTGGACTTAAAAACGCTGTTGACGATTACACTTTACAGTGTTGCCACTAAGCTTATTTATTTTTACAGGTTACGTACATAACGGCAATGTCTAAAATAACTTCATATCCGAATGTAACAATAGTTGACGTTAGTTCCAATATAAATCTCTTTCCAGGTACGTTATAAATATGCTTTCGAATATAAGCTATATAGTATTAAGTTTAGCGATGCTATCTTTACCACCGAGTGCGTGATAAAACGAATTTAACAGTGTGGAGCAAAAATATTCTACATACCCTCTCAGAAATTAGGCCTAACTTTACTTTAGGTCTTCAATAAATATCACATTGTTAAGTGGTCTGTCTGGCCATAAAATAATCGGAAGTCTTACTGTACCTACCCTAAGTGTATAGAGCCACTCGCTGTTCCTAATCTGTCCATGACCGACCTGTAATGGGCTTAAAGGTAGACTAGGATGTAGTGTTGACAACACAGGGTGATTTTATTCACAACATGACAAATTTAAGGAAAAGTATTTTTCAAAGAAAGAAACTTTTAACATTGTAAATATCTTAGACTTTATTAACCCATAATAAGCCACAGCGCCCATGGCCCTCCCTATTGTAGAAAGGATTTGCCTCAATGGCATCGCTTCACAGGCGGATTGGTGATCGCTGTTCTAGTCTCGTAGTTTGACGCTACTACTCATTGACTGATTACATATTTTACATGTGCCCAATAAAAGATATCTGCCATGCCCAACTCGCCAGTCAATTATGGCAGCTATGGCAAAACCTATTAGGCAATCTATCGGTAGGGCCTATGTTCAGCGGTGGATTAATGGATAGACTGTAAAGAATGAACGATAATGAATAAATATTTCTAAAAATTTGTAAGTATAGTAAAGCGGAAAGAAGGTAAAAAATCAAAGTAATTTTGTATTGTGATGTCAAAAGTATTTTTTTAGGTTTTTTGTTGGGTAACCATTTGTGGAATATACAGTTTCTTGACATATTTATTTCGTTACACTTTATCAAGACGTTATAGCTATAATATATCAATATATCATATATATAGTACAGTACCCCTAGTATTAGTTATTTTAAGTTTGGTTTAAGTTATTTTATTTTATATGTATATACTTTACAGTTATTTATATATACCTGTAAAGTATATACATATATACCCATAATCATTATTTACTTGCCTTAGAATATTGCTTATCAAATAGGTATGCAGCTTAGCAATCAAGAATATATTATTGTAATGTTCATAAATTAAATATTCATAAATAGACAATATGATAATGTATCTACAGAGATAAAGATATCACCATGGCCAATTTCTACATAAAGAACATTTGCAATATGACACGAATAAAATACATCATTGTACTTAGAAATATTGCCTTGGACTTATGTTTAAACCTAGAATTTTTATTTAGCGTGTCATATTTACGTGATACATTTTTTTCCTTGTCAATATAGAATCCAGCAATTTATCTTTAAAAAATAAAAATGTTTTTAATAGTATTTAACACTATCTTCTGCTTTCGGCTCTATTTACGTGGAAACTGAAAAGCTTTCGTGTTGTTAATGGTAAATTCATAGATCATACGTCCCGTTATATTTTACATTTTTGCAATTTTCTCATTTAATTTAACTACTGTGGTAAACCTTAAAAAAAGAAACTTGAATTAAGCCGAAAAAATCTAACGTACGTACATTCATTCATTCACTCATTACAGCTCTTCACAAGTCCACTGCTGAACATAGAATAGGAATGCCATTAAGTACGATCCTGTGCCACTTACATCCATCGACATTCTGCATGTCTTACCAGGTCGTCACTTCATCTAGTGGGGTTCCTCCCCAAATTTCTCCTATCGGTACGAGACTGCGTGCATTACTAAGCAATTTAAATAAGTAAATATACATTTGAACTACATTTTCATCTCATGCGTAAGCTCTGGTTTAAGCCGTTTAAAATGTTAGACTAGAAATTTACTTCTCCTAGAACAATTATGGGTTAAATACAGCTTCTTCTTTTCGATGCAGATGCATGTACAACTTATTTCTTTTTCTCTGCAGAGAATTTTCTAAATATCAAAAATATAATGGACAAAGACTCGGACATGAATGAAAACGACTTCTTCTTCCCAATTATGGACAGTGTGAGCTTAGCAACGATTAAACACGAGCAAGTTCAAAAAATTCTTATGAACGAGTCACAGCATTTCGATGTCGTCGTTGCTGAGTGGATGTATAACGAACTTTATGCTGGGTAAGTAATGTTAAAAATGAATAATAAGAAGTAAGCGGTGACTATGGGAAACGCTAAAAAGATTTAATGGCTTATTACTGATATATAACCATCCTGTGACGCTAAATGTAAAATATTCAGAAACTAAACTGCTAATGTAATCGCTGATCCTGTAAAACGTTATGATTAAAGCAATGCCTCCCAATGGTAGAGGCTCATGTATAGTAATGAACTTTTGCGGGTTTATGCAGTAGAAGTGGCCGGACAACACTTGGGATTTGATTCGGATTTGGATTCGGAAAAACGCAACATGTTAATTTTCTACCCTGTTGCGTAATACTGTCTCAATATCTCTGATTACATACAATCTACTAACCTTAAAAACTAAGTTTTGATAATGCCCAAAATATACAGGTTCACTAGGTAGGCGCCCTCTCTGTCTAGAATTTATTCTAGCTAGGTACCATCTTCTTACATATTTCTACTGACAAATATTATTGCACAGGCCATAGCATTTCATCTTAGTCCACATAAAATTTTCAAACATTTGTATTTTTCTAAGTAAATTTTATAGAATGGGGGTGACAAGCGAGTACACAGGCCACCTCATGATAAGTGAATTCTGTAAGAAGCAACATGCAATTGCACTGTCACACTGTACTAGGATGGTATGAATTATTTCCAATAACAATGGTCTCCGATTCTCTGCACTCACCATAAGAAACATTTCTGTACATTTAGTTACATTTTACACCGGTATTCTGTAAGAGCGTGGTCTTTTCATGGTCAAAATGACCCATTCTTGCTGCAACCATAATATAGCTGCAACGTGTCGTTAGAGATTCACACGCTTATGTCATTTTCGGGGTGGATTTTATCTTAACTAGCCTGAGCACTCGGTCGAGACTATCACGGACCATTGATGGAGAAGAAGCAATAAATAATAATAACACAAACGTGGATAAAATCGAAGATAATAAAGATATTAAAATTTAATTCGCAACCATCCGCTTAATTAAATACAATGATTTATCTTACCTGGATTCAATTCAGGTAAGAAACATCATTGTATTTAATTAAGCGGATGGTTGCGAATTAAATTTTAATATTTTTATTATAATGAATTTCTGCCGAAAGTAACGCCTGATTCTATCAAATTCGAACATAGTCACTATTGCTTAGAAAAGACCCACATTGTAACTGGATAAAAAGACAGACACTGGGAAACCGTTCTCACTCTACCTAATCCAAAAAACTTTCGAACACTGTCTGAAGCAATCAACTGTGCAGGAAATATTATAGTGTTGCACTGCTGCTAAAATTTGACGATTATGGATATTAACAACCACGTATAAGTGAATCATTAGGTCTTTCCAAGATTACACCATAGGATATTGATTTCCTATGTAGCACAGTAACAAGAGAAGACAAAGAAAAACTTATGTTTTCCCTCTAACCGTAAAAATTTTAAGTATACGATTTAATTTTTTTTAGCTTTTCGACAGTATTTAACTGCCCACTGATTTGGTTTTCAACTCTGGAGCCTCACTGGTTAATTTTAAGGATAATAGATGAAGCTTCAAACCCGGCATACAATCCGGACAGCATGTCTACCAATATAATTCCATATACGTTTTTTGAACGTTTGGAAGAGCTATGGTTACAGATGTCACGAAGTTTCTACAGAGAACTGTAAGTAAACTTTTGCTAATGAGACTGAATTGATGTATCTTTCGTCTTCATCAATCTTTCAAATCTTATCAAAAATCTTAATTATTATTTATTATGTATTTATTTACATAAGTACCATTTCATATCAGTCAATAATATTATTATATGGACTTATTACTTGGTTCGTCTAGTGGTTGTGAACATTGCCGATCATCAGATCCCTGGTTTGAATCTCTGGTCGGACTTAAAAATCTGTTATTTAGTTTTTCTATCAAGAAATTCACATTAGCAGCCAGGAGTTAGCAAATTGGCGGAGTTTCACCCCTGTACCTCGAAAAACACGTAAGCTGTTTGTACTGCGTGTGATCGCTCTCTTTTCTATTTTTATTGTAATTTTACTGCCTTATTCATTATTAGTCGATCTTATAGCTTTTTTTTTGTAGGAAAAGAGTGACAAGCGAGCACACAGTCCATCTGATGGTAAGTGGTTACTGTGGTTCATAGACATCTACATTTATCCTCGTTCGCGAATCAAAACGAAGATGCGTTGTCAGCCTTGAGGACTAAGATGGAATGCCTCTTTTCCAGTAAAAAGGGTCTCCGGTTCTCTACACTCACCATACGAAACGCAGCAGCATTAAGATACTATTTGACGCTGGTATTCTGTGAGAGCGTGGTCCTCCCCTGGTCGAGCCGACCCGTTCGTGCTACAACTATACAATTAATATAGCTGCAGCATGGCTCTACTACGTAAAAAATACCTAATAACTATACCTGTTCCACTCTATTATCTTATAGTAAAAAAGTAAAACAGCAACATTAAGCAATTCTTAAATAGACATCCAATCCCTTCTCATGTAGTGGCCCTACTACCACCTATCTTCGCATAAGTGTCGGAAGAAATGACAGAGGGAAACTAAGACAGTGATATGCAGCAGCACCTCATAACAGCAAATAGCGATAAAAACTGCGGTTGCTAAACCGCTCGTCAAGCGTGGCAACTATGGTAATATCCATTATGAGAGTTACGAAGAGAGTCGCCTTAGTTCCGGCGGCCCCGCTATTACTGGCTACGGTGGCAGGGGATGCTAAGAATCTCCGGTGGAGGTTTGGTCCTCGGATCCTAAGGCGAATCGACCTGGTGTCATATAACGCACGCACCCTGAGGACTGACTAGAGGATCCTGGAGCTGGAAAAAGAGATAGATAAGTTGCACTGGAATATTATAGGATTATCCCCGGTCCGCAGAGAGGGAAAGGATATGCAGGAAGTCTGTGGATGCAGATGCTCAGGGCCATTCTTTGATACATTCCTTATGGGATGTCTACGTTCAGAGTGGACTTGTGAAGGGCTGTTGATGACAATGATGATGATGAAATAGTCTTTGAATTTATTAAGGCTGTTAATGATTAGAAATATGTAAATGATAAAGAAAAAACAATAAAAAAAACTATAGGAACAATATTAATATTTTTAGTTGGAAATACAATGAAGTGACTAAAATTTTTAATGAGATGTATGCACCTGTACTGTCGCGAAAGGGACATGCTGTTCCATCATACGAGGACGTAAGATACAACGGATCACTCGTTTTGGGCAATTCTTACGTTGCACTGGGACAAGCTACCAGACTTCCGCAGAGCTACAAGCCTATTGGAGGTTTTCACATTGACAAAAATATACAGACTTTACCAAAGGTATGAAAATAATATATTTTCTTACAATGTCAATTATTTGTTCAGACAACTTTTTGAAAATTTGGGAATCAAACTTTTAAATTCGACATCTAATCAGTTGGCAGTATACTAGACACGCATTTAACTTCAACTCTGACTGCTTCATTTGGCCTTCAGCTTAGTTTTCACTGGGTGGCTGCATCGGTGCTCATTATCGTTCACTCACCATCTATTAGTGTACAATGTTTTGACAATGATGGTACGTAGACGGTACCTTTTAAAGGGAGTGGGCAGTTCATCAAAACGAGCAAAAATATTGTGCCGACCTTTAACATATAGAATTTTTGGCCATGTATATTCAAATTATTTTTGTTAATTAGTACATAAATCAAACTACATGGTGCATTAAAAACAATAGGAAGAAACCCATATAAATTTTAAATAAATGTCCAATATATTCACTACCGGTGCTGAGTTTCAAAAATAATGTTTAATAAAAATATTTCATAACATAAAACTTGTATAGAGGACACTGGTTTTGTGTTAGTCCTTCATAGTCAGTAGACCGTTTGATAATATTTTAATAATCGTCATTGTCTTAACATTATACTTACTATCGAAAAACATTTTAAAACTTTGTAAAAGTAAAAAGTGATTACCGTGACAGAAACTATATTTTATTTTTTTACCCGGTCAACAACGTTTAATAATGTTATTATATATATTGAGAATGTATTTTGAGAAATTATATACTGAGAAATGGGCACCATGCTTATTTTATCAGAAACTGCCAATTTCGATGCACGTGCTGTTGTATCCTAATTTATAAATAGCAAACAGCGTTGAATTTTGGTGCTTTTCCGAAATACAATTCCTCACCGATCCGCTAATTATTCACGTAAGTATAATGTTTTATTTTAAAAAGGTAAAGTTGTGGAATAAGTTGCCAGCATCTGTCTTTCCATCCAATTACAATGTAAGTGCATTCAAGGCAAAAGTGAATAGGCTTTTGTAAAGTCGGTGAGTTTCACCATCTCAGACCACATTACCACTTACAATCGGGTGGGATTGTATTTAAGCGCTGGAAGCGCTAGCGCTAGAATAGTAAAAACAAAAGATAAGTGACCTAAAGACACCAACACCCAATTTCGATTAGGGAAATGTAGATTCGTTGTCACCTGTGACGATAAAGATAGAATGCCTATGCTCTTACCAGTGAAAAGAATCTCTGTTTTTCTAAACTCACCATATAAAATATGATGCGTTTTATATGGCGAGTTAGGCTAGGGCGGTGCTATAGTCATATATAGATAAACGTGGTTCTCCATCAGATTTTTTTATAAAAATTGTGAACCGATTCTTAATAAAATCAAGTACATTACACATACATAGTAATATTAAATGTATAATAAGTTTTGTTCCCTACATTCCACACTTAATGTATTTGTGGTTGTATTTATTTTGTAATTGTGTAAAATAATCTGGTCTAGTTCCAGCCTATAAAAGCATACTGCTGAAGGAAGGCCACCCACATGTATAACTTCATAAAAGGATTATGCTGTTAACCTTGTAGTAGCGGTGTAAGGATATTTCTACCCCACTTCGTGCCATGGGTGTCGTAAGGGGCGGCACAGAAAAACTGGAGCAGGAGATGGGCAACATCATCTTTCACAAAACAACTCGGTTATCGTTACTAGCCTAAGTCTACGGATGGAAAAGGGCTCCCCCATAGATTGCCTCATAAGTGGGATATGTGTCATAGTTGCCATGCTTGGTAAGCCGGTTGGAAACGGTTGTTATTTTTCTTGCCATAGTTAGTCGCCACCTACATACTAATAAAAAAAACTGTACTTACTAACCCGCCTACAAATCGTGCAAGCAATGGAATATATGTGGGGTACAGTTTCAAAAACGACGTTCATAACCCAGAAATAGAAAATTTGTGATGAATTCTTGTGGCATTACTTAATTAAATAAGTTTCTGTGTTTTTTGGAAAATTGGTTGCTTTAATTACATTTTGTAACTTATTCATTAATTTATTATAATTTTTTACAAACGTCTAAAAAGCAAAAAAAGTGATAGACTTTTTTACTGTTAGGCGTCTGAAACTGAAGTTCGGACACTTAGTTTTGAATGACGTACATGGACATTAGCTTATTTGCTACGACTAATAAGATGTATACCTAATTAAATATATACCTATATAAATAATTACCACGTTGCGTCGTCACGTTAAATAGGTATAGAAAATAAAATAAATAAATTAAATTATCAATTTTTTTAATCTAATAATAAAAATTTAATTTTTAATTTAATAATAAAAAAAATAAATAGACGTGGCTAAACATCGCAAATGAAAGATAAGGAGAAAGAAGAGGTCTTTGCCTAGCAGTAGAATAGAAAATAGGCCATTTAAAACATGTAACTATTAAGTCAGGTACTTGTTATTCTGTTTTTTTGCAAATCTCCGTCGAGTGTCGTATTTGGTATTAATTTATTGTAAAAAGATTGAACTGAGTAACTCCTCCAGTTGATATCAAAGTCTGTAGTCAATATCTCATCGACATCTTAAATCTTAGAAGGTTTTAGTTTTACCGCTAAGCACTGAATACCTAAAGATATTCAGTGCTTAGCGGTAAAATTAAAACAAGCAAGAACGATTATGCTCGCTGTTTTGCCATTTTTGCAAACTAACTAAACTAAACAAACTAAAAAAAATTTTGATTTTATAATATTACTTCCGCTTCCTTACAATCTTTTACTGGACACTCTTCTTCTACCAAAATGAGACTTGAATATTCTCTTATAATATCGGAGTAACCATTCGGCTCTAATATTGTGTCTCTCTTGCAAAACTCCTTTTCTATTCTTCCAAAAACGCGGTCTGCGGGAAGAATAGTGTGGCCTACAACGGGAAATATAATTTAAATGTTCATTATATGCTGTGGGGTTTCTGATAGCCACTTAAGGCACATTATCGCGATAAAACTTCGCCTTCAGCCTACGGCGAATGTTTGTCGCGATAAAAACACGCTAAGCACAAAATGGACGCCGCGGTCGATCTGTATTATATAACAGCGAATAATTATATTTTACTAGGTTTTAGGCAACAGGGTACAGCTTTATACGCTTGAATTATTTATTCAAAATATCTCATAAAATTCTTCTCATATATAATATATCTTCTCATTACTTCAAAAAATTGTCATTGTCGAAAATACGTCGTAAACCCCTTTAATAATACTTTAAAAGTATCAAAATTGTTTCAGTTGGTGCGTACATCTTATTAGTCGTAGCAAATATTGCAATTTCCATGTATGTCATATTCAAAACAAACAATGTCCGAACTTCAGTTTCAAATTCAGCTAAGTCTGTCACTTACTAGACGTTTGTAAAACATTGTAAATTAATGAATTAGTTAGAAAATGTAGTTAATGCGATCAATTTTTCAAAACACCTACACTTAATTAAGTAATGGTACAAGTTTGTACAGAAGTACAAAATTTCTATTTCTGGATTATGACGTCCATAACTGGACTTGAAACTACCCCTTTATAAATATAAATTATTTATTTCTTCGTATTGCATAGGTTCATGTTATGTATGCGTATCATTACCACGTACGAAATTCATATATTGTGTTTACCTTTTCCGTGTTCTAGTGCTCAAAATGATGAAATATACTAATTTTATTACCTATTTTTTTATTCTTCATAATTTTCTTTAATACAGCGATCGTTGGGACTTTTACAGAATGTAGAAGCTATTATGGATCATGCAAAACATGGCGTAATATATTTTAGCATGGGATCAAACTTACAAAGTTCACAATGGCCAAACGAGATCAAAGAGGGTTTGCTGAGAATGTTAGGTCAATTAAAACAAACAGTGTTATGGAAGTTTGAAGAAGCATTAGCAAAAGTACCTAGTAATGTACATTTACTTAAATGGGCTCCTCAGCAGAGCATTTTAGGTACGGTATTCAATTGTTATATATACTACATAAATTATTACTCCTTTGTTACCAACGTTTTATAGATCAATAGTACATTTTCTCTCGATCTACTTCTGAACTTCTTCTATCTTAGGAAAACTTCACCTTAATCGTCACGCTTATAGCAATTGCATGCAAAATATTTTTTTATTTATGTTATTTATTTAATTCTTTATTTGCGCAATATGGGTACAGATGGTGTTACAGTGGTCAATTTACATTGTTGATCGCCACATTTAGGCTCATGCCATGCAAAAATTCTTAATTATATGCTATAGATTAAATTAAAATTATTACATATCAAATTACAGTGTCTAAATAATTATTAAAATAATGTCAAATGAGATTACATAATTAATACACAATGTCAACTTTGTAAAGTAATGTCACATAAAATGTCTAATTAATGTCGCAGTACCACTAAGCCGGTTACAATACTACATCTATTAATTTGTCTTCAAGAAATTCCCTTACCGAATAATATGATTTTTCTAAAAGTAGTGTCTTCACTTTTTTTAAATAAATTATTATTTGAAATTTCAAGCAGAGAATATGGATGCACCTTTGACGCTGCTTCCTATCCCCTGGTTATTTTATGTTTACCAAATTAGAAATTGTGTAGGTACTGCCTTTGTTAATAGGCCATGAAAATTTTGAGGCATTTCCTCTAGTCTCTTCTTACGACGCCAACGGAATGAAAACAATTGGATTGTCTTCTGCCGCCACTACACAATAAATAACCTTCTCTATATAAATAATTAATTGTAATTATACAAGAGTTGTTAAAAAGTCCAACCGATTTATTTATTTATATTCTAAATTATAAACAAACACACATATTTTTTTAATAATGAACATCTTTATTTATATATTTGTTCTGTTTTTTTTTAAATATTTATTTTCATAAAACATGATACATTTTTAGGTGTACATGAATGTTTTACCAGTTTATCGGTATGAAAATATTACGTCAACGTGCTTTTTAATAATTAAAATTAGAAAAATACAAAATTATATTATTCTTCATCTTAATTTGAATAAAACAGTTAAAGAAAAAAAATATACAGGCATGGTTATATCATATAGCATAATGTCAAACTAGTATTATGTCAATCTTACAATCTCTAAATCATTTTTCAATTTAAAATTTCATACATCAACAACAATTCGCTAGAGGTGACCGTCACGGCAGAATTTGATAAATTCATTTACGTCATAAAAACAATTTTTAAATTAGAATTCCGAAAATATTTTTTTAAAAAGTTTAAATGTTAAGTTTTGAATATGGTTCGGAAGTAAATTAAATAGTTGAACGCACATGCTATAACTATATCTAGCAAAACAAGTTGTGGCTGTCTGGGGCACAGATAACTTCCACGGGTACCTTGGGTACATTTTACGGTTATGTGCGGTTCTCACTGAATTCCTCTCAAATGGATGGATCGATTATGATGAATTTTTTGGTGCGAATTTAAGTAGATGCCTGGATGGTTTATATTTACAATTAGATTCATATGGTGGCGCTATTCTAAGTAAGATATAGAAATCACCCGCGTAAAGCGAGAGCATTCGCCTCCGCTAGTAGTTTTTTTAATAATTTATTCTAGCTTTTGTTTGTAATAATAACTAATATTTTCAGCACATCCCAACTGCGTTCTCTTCATCACACATTCCGGTTTGTTATCGACAACTGAGGCAGTTCATTTTGGTGTACCTATCATAGGTATTCCAGTTTTCGCTGATCAGTTCGTCAATATACTTCGGGCGGTCAACATAGGATTTGCAAAAAAAGTAGATCTTTCATATGACATTGTGGATGAATTAAAAACTGCAATTGTGGATATTCTTAACGATCCACGGTAAATATATAAAACATTGTTTTCCATTTTTATGTTTAAAACGATCATGTAGCTCATCCATGAACAACTGTAATACCAGGGGATTGCAGGTGCGTTGACGGATAAAAAAAGAGTAGGCTCTTTTCTTGAAGGTCCTTAGACGAATCGGTTCAGAAAAATCGATGGTGGTAGCCGATTCATTCACAAAAAAGTTATGCAAGGAAGAAAACAGTGAAATAATTTAACCATAGTGAAATTTTACTTTATGATGTTTATGGTTACTGCAGGTTAATTTTTATCGTTTTATTAAGTCCTAATAAAACACTGTTCTTTCGTAACTTGTTGTATGTATAATGATTTCTTGTATTTACGCGAACACCGATAGATCGGACCATAAACAATAATTAAAAAAGCTGAAGGTACTCCGGGTTTAACGATATCGGGACGTCAGTCACCTCAGTCCCCCGTGACCATGGGTACGTGCGTACGTACGGCCGTGACCGCTGGAAAGCACCCGAAACGTCGGGAATTAAAAATTAAAATTATTAAAATTAAAATTGTTTATTATATTACGCGATAAAGTCCGTAAAGTAGTTTTAATCAATTGTTGTATGAAATTCACATTGAGGGAAGTTTTTTAAGAAGCCGCACCTGAGTACAGTGCTTTAATGCCTTAACCTAACCCGGTAATCATTAACGACCGATTTTTCATTATATTAGGCTGACAATTGCTAGGACGACTTCTTGGCGTAGTGGATATGGCAATGAGTTGCGGCGCCGAGGGCCGCGGGTTCAAATCCCGTACGGAACACTTTCATTAGTATAGCCTTCATAAAACTATTCTTTCGGTTCTGGATGATTGTTGTTGCCAACTTTATATATGTTTTTTAAAACTTATAAGTAGAAAAGTAAGGTAACAATGCCATTTTTAAAAGTTTTACCCCTGAGGACTATACGTCACACACGGCATACAGTATCCGCTTACGATCACATTAACTTTGTGCTAGTTTGTCACCCTTAATTTTATAAAAAAAAATTTGCCCTGTTATTAATTTTCATGATTTTATTTTAATAATATTCATAAATAAATATCTATATTTTTATTTTATTTCATTTAATCTTGCTTGATTTTTCATTGTATTGCATCATTTTATTAATTTTGTTGTCTTTCAGATATCACGATAAAGCAAAAGAGTTATCTATGGTCTACCACGATCGACCGGTGACTCCGCAAAAAGAAATCGTACACTGGGTAGAGCACGTAATACGCACAAATGGAGCAGTTCATTTGCGATCTCCGGCACTTTTCGTTCCTTGGTACCAGAAGACATATCTTGACCTTATAGTGATTATTGTATTTATCATAATTATGTCGATGATTTTCATTAAGTGTGGGTTACAAGCATGTAAACATGTACATAATAAGGAGAAAACTAGTTAATGAAAATTTAAGTTGTAACTACCAATAACTTCTGTAACCTAAGTTAAATATCTTGGTATTTGGCTTGATGCTAACTTAATTTAGAAACCACAAAAACTTAACAGAATTAAAATTAAAGTACCTGGATGACCGAGCTTTCCTCGGTATTTTTTTTGGAAATTATATTTAGATACAAATTACATACTGTTGAAACATTAATAATATTTTTTGATCTTATTGACGTAATAAAAAAACTGAACCGGTTATTTGAATAAAAAAAATCATGAGTGCAATTAGTTTAATTTAAGTTTTCGTATTTTAAAAAAAATACAAAAAAAGAGCTCGAAATAATAGATTTTCTCACAAAAGAAGGGAACTTGAAAAATCGATTTATTGCTCCCGTACGCTCCTGGCCAATAAATTTTATGAAATCGTTGGAGCCTTGCAAGAACAAGAATTGCTCCTTTAAAGGTATAGAATATTGTTGTGCGCCTAAGTTGACGTAATGTACTCGGCACTAGCGCCATCTGTGTCGGGTAACAGAGCAAGGAGAGCTATCCAGAATATTACATCACTAATCTTTCAACCGACAGCGCCATCTAGATAAAGAACTAAGCTTTCTAGAAGCCCGAGACTCGAACTTTCGGCGCCTTGTATTGGATGTTTCGGTGATAATGTGTATTTAAAGGCGCTGCAAGATGCGATCGGGGAAGTATTGAATTTGGCGAGACAAGCGAAGCTTCGGAGCCCAATAAAGTGAATCAGTGCGAGTAATTATTAGTGTTTTAAGTTTAATTAGTGTAAAGTGAATTAAAGTATTAATTTTGGTAATTCAATCGGCAGTTTTTATCGTCACGAACTTCAAGCTCGTAACAATATATATGACACCTATTTATTACAAAAAAAAGGCAACTGCTTAGTCTTTTTTTAATATTTTATGTATTAAATCCCTCTTATTTAACATTTATGATGTAACTCATTAACTAAAAAATTTTCAGTAAATAAATTAAAAAATATATTTTGAACACGGGGCAAAACTGACTGCAATAAATCAAAAGGTATATAATAATTTCTACTATATTTAGAGAGCTCAATTTTTTTAATATTCCAAATATTAAGGACTAAACATAGATAATGGTAATTTATTTTCCATTTTACTGATATATATACATTACGACGAATGGTTAAGACAGATCAGTGAGCAATCATAAAATTAAAATTTAGATTTTGAAACTTACCTACCTAGGCTTATACCAAAAAGTACTCCACAAGCATCATTCTCCTGATAACACAAAATAACTGTGATTACAAAGCGCTTAACCCCGGCTATTGCTGTGTAGGTGTGTCGCTGTCAGTATCACAATATCACAGTTATCGAGTAACTGCCTAGTTGGTGCAGTGGTCGTGACCGCGGTTTGGGCTAAAAATCAGTTATAAGGTTTTTCTATCAAGAAATACTAACCTTATCTGATCATGAGGTCCCGGTCCCGAATTGGAATCTCGGATCAGACCAACATAAAGGTGTTAAGTTTTTTTGTCAAGATACTGTATATAGCAGCCCGGAGTCAGGAAGTTGAGAAGAGAAAAGAGAGACTCCTTTCTTAAAGGCCGGCAACGCACCTGCAATTCCCCTGGTGTTGCGTTTGTTCATGAGCTGCTGCAGTCACTTAACATCAGGTGAACCGTATGCTCGTTTGCCACCTCTTCCATAAAAAAAAAATTTGGCAGTGTTTCACCTTCGTGCCTCGGAAAGCACGGAAAGCCGTAGGTTTTGCGCCTGATCTAATTATGATCGTGTTGGATTACCGTCCCGTCGGACTATGAGAGTGAGGAAATAGAAAGTGCACTTTTTCTTGCGCATACATCAGGAGATTATAATCCTGTCCTGAGCACATGGTTATTCTCCGTTGAGACTGGCTGCCTTTCCGCCATTTCCTTGCCCTACAACCCTCTCAGAAATGTGAGGTCTGTTCTCAGGAGTAGAACGTAATCGTTTATTAAATGTGAAAGAAAGAAATGTAGAAATCTATAGCCCTCTGAAACATTAATTTATTTTCAAAAGGGATTACTGTGAGGATAACATTACAAAATTTCGTGAATATCTCTGGAGTATAAACTGGTATTTTTTAGAGAATTGAGTGACAAGCGAGCACAGTCCATCTGCAGGTATGTGGATGCTGTGGCCTATAATAATCGATATTTATCCTCAATTAAGAATCAAAATTCAAACACGTTGTCACCCCTGAAGACTAAGATGGAATGCCTGGATTCCAGTAAAAAAGGTCTCCGGTTATCTACACTCATCATACGAAACACAGCAGCATTACGCTGCTATTTTAAGCTGGTATTCTGTTAGAGCGTAGTCCTGCCCCTGTCGGACCAACCCATTCATGCTATAACTATAACTAGCTGACACGGCGAATTTCGTACCGCCTAATATTCAATGAATGTCGTGTTACCTTTTAGCTGAACTAATTTAGGCTTTGATGAACGTAATACAATGATACAAAATAAAAATACAGATAGATATAAAAAAGTATTTTATTATGATAAATAATACATACAGCAAGATAATTAAAAAAAATTAAGTAATTCAAACACGTGTCAGCAAAAAATGACTGAATTAAACGATTAACTCTTTTCATTCAAGCACCTTGTGGTAAACGACATTCTTTGTTTTTTTGTCAGGCGCAAGAACAAATAAAGCGGATGGTTTGCCGACACGTGAACATGCCACGTACAATTGACCATGAGAAAAACATGAATTTTCTAGATTGAGGCCACAAATAGTCAAGGATTGGCCCTGTGATTTGTTAATCGTCATGGCGAAGGCAAGACGAATCGGGAATTGAATTCTTTTAAACTCAAAGGGCATATCGGTTGGGATCATCGGAATCCTTGGAATCAGAACTTCCTCATCTTTAAATTTTCCTTTGAGTATCGACGCGTGAATCACATAGCTCATCAGTTTTCTTATCACCAAACGCGTTCCATTGCACAGTTTTGGTTGGTTTAAATTTCTAAGCATAATTACTACCGAGCCAACCTTCAGTTGTAAATTGTGCGGTGGTAAACCAGGAACATCCAAGGAGTTTAAAAATTCGGTTGGATAATTAGTGGCTTCATCTTCGTTTGTTACACAGTCGATAGATTTGAATGAATGCAGAGTACCTGCGATTTGATTCTGAATTATAAAATTTAGGTCATCTACATCTTTATTTTTAGCCGCCAAAATTGCACGCTCACTTAACCATTTAGTATGTTTGTGGTTAGCAATGATATCCGGGAATACTTTGTTGATAAGCTCGTCTTTCGATGAGACGAAATTGCAAAAATTTGGAGGAAATGACATCAATCCGCTCGATTCGTCAACAGGAACACGGCCATTACCGATAGTCAGCAATTGCTTAGAGAAATCATCAGGAGATAGATCGTTCAACAATGCAACTGTCATATTTACTGACAGTTGAAGTTTCTTCATATATGGCCACAGATTTGATGCTTTGAGGCAAGCGTTTATTTCGTCGGCAGCAGTAGCTCTTGGAATGACTGGTAGTGTTTGTCGAAAATCGCCAGATAGTAAAATCATCGCACCACCAAAACATCTCGAGTCATTGCACAGATCTTTTAATGTTCGGTCAAGTGCTTCCAATGCGCGTTTGTGCGCCATTGTGCATTGGTCCCATATTATGATTTTTGATGCTACCAAAACTTTGGCCATTGCGGAGTGTTTAGAAATGTTACACGTCGGTTGTTCAGTAGTTTGAAGGTTTAATGGCAATTTAATGGCCCCTATTCCAGAAGAAGCAACTCCTACCGCAATTTCGGATCTCTATCAATCTAAGGATCAATGACATGAGGAATGTCTTTCCAATTCCACCGGGGGCATCCAGAAAAAATAAGACACCATTTCCATCATCAATTGCATTAATCAATGTATCATAGACTTCCCTCTGTTTAGGATTCAACAGTGGTACATTCGTTTGAACTGATTGGACTAATTCATGTGGATCATATTCACGTTCACGTTCCAGTTCTCTATTAAATGCGTCATTCATACCGCGATCTGGCGCTGGCATTCCTAGCCTGACTAACAAACTGCCGCACATGAGGTAACACATATTACACAGAGCATTCGACCGTCTTAATTGCTTTTGTCTAAATTACATTACTACGGTTTTGACATATCTGCGATAAAATGGTTCGAAAGTTATTTCGAGCATCGTACACAGCAAGTAGAAATATCAGACGAAAATGGGTTACCAGTCATTTCGAACGCTCAGGCTGTCAAACAAGGCGTTCCGCAGGGATCTATCCTAGGACCTATTTTGTTTGCCGTGTATTGTGCGGATATAACAAATTGTATTAAGCGTTGCAAATACCATATGTACGCGATTGATACACAGATCTATATACCTTGTAAACCGGGGGAGACTAAATTAGCGGTGGAAAAATTAAATGACGATCTCGAAAGAATTGCAGCTTGGTCAGATTCGAACGCATTAGTTTTTAATGGAAGCAAGTCTAAATATATGATTCTAGGCACGGCTCAGCAAATACAAAAAATAGCAAAACACGAAGCTAAGGTAACCATTAGGAGCGAAAGAGTTGAACGCGTGACTGAGGCTCGTAATTTGGGTTTGTTGATAGATGACAAGTTACGCTTTGAAAGTCACATAATAAATACTGCAAGAACATGTTTTTATAGGTTAAAGGTATTATATCAAATTAGAAATTGCCTAAATACCGATATGCGGATAAGACTGTGCAATTCTTTGATTCTGTCTAAATTTAATTATATGGATATAGTGTATGGCCCTCGTCTCCTTGTGCGTAGCAAGAAACTTGTCCAGAGGGTGCAGAATGCTTGTGCGAGATTTTTTTAAAATACCTCCCCGCGCTCACGTCACGCCGTACATAAACGAGCACAATATCTTAAAAATGCAGTATCGGCGAGAATACCACCTAGCCACATTTCTATTTGGATTAATTAAATATAATGTACCACCTTATCTTTATCA